GGTTTAAAATACCTACTCAGTGCCCTGGCTGGTGTGGCTCAGTTGGGCGTCATCCTGTGCACTGAAGGGTTGCTGGTTCAGTTCCTGGTCAGGGCACATTCCTGGATTGCAGGGCTTGATCCCTGGTAAAGGAAGGCAACCAGTCGATGCAGGAGGCAGCCAATTGATGTTTTGCTCTCACATCACTATTTTTCGCCCTCTCCCTTTTATTTCTAAAAATATAAAATGTTTTTTTAAAAAATGTTTAAGCTTCACATTTTCTAGTGAATGACTCAGCTAAAATGTTTGTCAAATTGAATCACAATACAGTTGACCCTTGAACAACATGATTTTGAACTGTGTGTGCGTGTCCCCCTGTATGCAGGTTTTTTCTATAAAATACATTGAAAAAATTTTTTGAGATTTCCTCACTACAGTGAAGAAGTCATATCAGTTACACCTAAGCTACCATAAAGCAATCATATTGCTACTAAGTTTTCCATACATGCATCATTATACCTGAAAATGAATATTCTTTTTCACATCTTTTCATTTTTTTTTTTTTTTTTTTTTAAATATATATTTTATTGATTTTTTACAGAGAGGAAGGGAGAGAGATAGAGAGTTAGAAACATCGATGCGAGAGAAACATCGATCAGCTGCCTCCTGCACATCTCCCACTGGGGATGTGCCCGCAACCCAGGTACATGCCCTTGACCGGAATCGAACCCGGGACCCTTCAGTCCGCAGGCCGACGCTCTATCCACTGAGCCAAACCGGTTTCGGCACATCTTTTCATTTTTGATATCTAATGTTAGTTGTCAAGTAGATGGCAAAGTGTAGGGTGGGAGGGGAGGTGGTGGATTGGGTATCTTAAAGAATAGGGAAGGTATGAACAGCGTTCGTGGGTAATGGGAAGACATAATGGAATAATTGCTAGGCCACGTGAAAGGCTCATCTAAGGTTGGAGAATATTCCTATGTTGTAGCAATAATCTGTAGTTTTGTAAACTTTCTTTCTGAAGCTCTCAATAGCTAAGGTGTAGGTCTAGAAAGGTTGATGGTTACACTGACCCAGTAATTAGGTTTTGCTGAGTAGTGATATGCAAGGTCAAGGATGTTGAGAATTTTGGCAAGAGTGGTTGAAATGATGAGGCTTATGGTTTGATAGGAAAATAACTGGAACTAGAAAGAGGCCATGGGAATTTTTTTTTGGGGGGAAGGGGCTGTTCGGTATTTCATTTTTTATTTACAGATTTATTTCTGTTAAATACAGGCCATACAGGAACTAATGAAAATCCATGGACAAGATCCTGTTTCATTTCAAGATGTGAAGGTTACTTTTTCCTTTAACTTACATAATACCAGCTAACCATTTGTATTAAATGAAATTTTATATGAAAGTAACATGAATTATAAAGTACTGAACCAAATCAAGTATTTGCTCTTATTTGTTCCAATGATATAAGTCATTAGAAGCTGAGACCACAGTTTGACTAATGATTTTTGTAGTTTGATTTTAGCATTTTCACCCTTGTGTTATCGTTGACAGCTTTCATTCATTTTGATTGAAAATTAAAAGAGAATCAATCTGGCCAGCATCCTTTGGCAAACTATAACACTGTAAACTGAATTTTTAACTTGGGAACTATTTAGGTCAGGCACATTTTTAGTCTGTTACTTTAAAGGGCTTGCTTTGGTATTACTTAAGGAGACATCAGTCCTACACTATGAAAACTGTCACTGAAACATATGCTGCTACTTAGCACTTTAGTATTGAGACTTTCTCCAGCTATGAAAAACAAGGAGTATTCAGTATTGATTCAGGTTCAAACTGAATCTGTATCTACACTAATAAAAGAGAAAGGTGCAAATTGACCATATCTTTGCGATGCCCACCAGCCAATCAGGAGTGAGTATGAAAATTAACCCAGCAAAAGCTGGCGAGTTAATTTGCATACACAGGTGTCGAGCGGCCTGGGGCAGGGTGGGACGTAGATGTTCTGCACTGCCCCAGCCGCTCCAGGCCTCTGGGCAATATGGGAAGGCGGAAAGGCGGCTCTGGCCGGAGCGAAGGCAGTGCCGGTAGCCAGGGGAAGGAAGGCCCATTCTTGCACGAATCTTCATGCATCAGGCCTCTAGTATATATATAAAAGCCTAAACGACCATCGCAACCGAAACAACCGAACAGACGACCTAACAGGCTGCATGGGGCGACAAGGCCAGCAGGGGGGTTAGTGAGGGACAACCAAACAACTGAGCAGCAGGCTGCATGGGGCAACCAGGCTGGTGGGGGGCGGGGGGGGGGGGGTGGCAGTGAGGGGCGACCAAACGACCAAACAGCAGGCTGCATGGGGTGACCAGGCCAGCAGTGGGGGCAGTTGGGGGTGACCAGGCCAGCGGGGGGGGGGGCAGTTGGGGGTGACCAGGCCAGCAGGAGGGGGGCAGTGAGGGGCAACCAGGCTGGCAGAAGGGGTGCAGTGAGGGGTGACCAGGCTGGCAGGGGGGCAGTTGGGGGTGACCAGGCCAGCAGGAGAGGGGGATAGTAAGAGGTGACCAGGCCAATGGGGGAGGCAGTTGGGGGTAACAAGGCCAGCAGTGGGGGCAGTTAGGGGCAGTCAGGCAGGCAGGTAGGTGAGCAGTTAGGAGCCAGTGGTCCTGGATTGTGAGAGGAATGTCTGACTGCCAGTTTAGGCCCGATCCCTAGGATCGGGCCTAAACCGGCAGTCGGAAATCCCTGAGGGGGTCCCAGATTGGAGAGGGTGCAGGCTGGGCTGAGGGGACCCCTGTCCCCCGTGCACCGGGCCTCTAGTAATGTAATAAATAACTCATTCAGATTTAACCAAGTATAAGATAAAGGGTTATTTTGGTTTAATATAAATGACACAAATTTTAAACCATGCAACAGGCAACTTAAGAACTAGTTAAGCCCTACCTGGTATGGCTCAGTGGATAGAGTGTTGGCCTGTGGACTGAATAGTCACGGGTTCAATTCCTGCCAAGGGCACAAGTTGGGGTTGTGGGCTTGATCCCCAGTAGGGGGCATGCAGAAGGCAGCCAATCAGTAATTCTCTCTCATTGATGCTTCTCTCCCTCTCCCTTCCTCTCTGAAATCAATAAAAAATAAATAAATAAATAGAACTAGTTAATTTTAAATGGCCACCAACCTGGAAGAGAAGTTTCTCAAACATATAAAAGTTCATTCATTTCTCTTACCTAAATTGTTCTAAACTTTTTTTAAAAAAATATATTTTATTGATTTTTTACAGAGAGGAAGGAAGAGGGATAGAGAGTTAGAAACATCGATGAGAGAGAAACATCGATCAGCTGCCTCCTACACACCCCCTCTTGGGGATGTGCCCACAACCAAGGTACATGCCCTTGACTAGAATTGAACCTGGGACCCTTCAGTCCGCAGGCCGACGCTCTATCCACTGAGCCAAACCCGTTAGGGCTGTTCTAAACTTTTGAAAATGTAATTTTCCTCCTTTAATGACACTAAATACTGAGTAATTTTATTACAAAAAGATTAGGAAACACGTACTAATTCTTTGTAAATATTCATTTAGAAGAGGTTCTTCCATCTATTCCAGTAAATTTTAGCACAATTTAGTGTTCTTCTGGATGACTAATTCTTTGATACCAACCTCCCACCCTCATCATAGGTCCAGAGTGTAAAAGGTTGACATCAATATTGGAAATGAAGCTTTGTCATAATCTTGGCTCTGAAGCCTTTAAGTTTGAGCTGGGTTTGCACTTAAATTGAATCAAGGGTTTGCTTCATCACTAACAAAAGTACAAGCAGTTAGTTAACATGCACTCAAAGAACACTACTTTCAATTGTTTAGCTATTAATTGCCTATGTAGCTTGTATCAGCTTAAACTCCGAGCCTCAGTTTCTTCCTCGTTGAGAGAGAGTTATCACATAGCTAAGGAGTATTCCAGTAAAATTCTCATTGTACATAGAAAAGGAGACTGCGTATCTGTTGGTTTTTTTCTTTTACAAAAATTTTACATAAGCTTAAGTGCTGAATTTTAGGTCACTGTGTGATAAAAATTAAGTGAATCATATATCACATTCCATTGTGTTTTTCTTTTCTCTTGCAGGATGAAATCTTTGACATGGTAAAACCAAAGGATCCTTTGAAAATCTCTCTTCAGGATTTAATCAACAGTAATCAAGGAGACACAGTCACCACCATTCTAATCGATCTGAATGGCTTCTGGACTTATGAGAACAGAGAAGCCCTTGTTGCAAATGACAATGAAAACTCTGCAGACCTTGATGATACATGATCTCAAAAACTAGACTGTATTCATTAACATAAGCTTGAATGCTGCATGTAAAACCTTTGAAGCAGAATCCTTAGAAATGGTCTAAATAAAAGACTTCAAATGCCTATAGAACACAGCAAATGTTCTCATTACTGGAATTAATAGTTTGGAAGCAATAGGACCAAATTAGGAAGCAGCAGTAAATCCTATTTCCACTTAGTTTAAGTGTGACAAGTGTGTTTTGTTGAAGGTAGAAGGAGTCCACTTTAAATCTGTGTAATATTTAGGACTATTTCTGACATTAGTCATTAAGAATTTGAATATCTGAAGGGTAGTTTAAATTTTAATGTGATCATTTAACCTTAAGTATTCCCCTAAAGTATTATGTATATCAGAGATTACAGACTTCCCCATTCATTTCATTTCTGGGATAGAAGTGTTTAGATATGATGTTTCTTTTAATAGGATATTTCAATTAAGTATTGAAGTTAATATTTTATTTTAATTAAAATCATTGGTATAAAAAAATCTGTCTAGTTTTATTAACCAGTACCAGGGTTACCTTTTATAAAACTTCAGTTTGTTAAGGATTATTGTTAGAGAATTTAACTCATTGTAAGGGTTCTCAATTATGTCTAGTTTTTATGAGATGAAAGATTAGAAAAAGATAGAATATCACAAACTATGATCCACAGGGGACAGTAAATATTAAAAGGATTGAAAGGAAGAAAAACTGAAAGGCTTAAAAATAAGACAAAACCATTTAATGCATTTATGGGAAATTTTATAGTTTGCATAAATAAAAATATAAAAATTTAAGGCACAGTGTATAACTATAAACATTACAAACTGGCCACTGTTAGACAAGTAAAGAAAATAAAATTCAAGAAGCACAAAATCTTCATAGGTCATTATCTTCCTTCTACTATAATCAGACAAGTTTCTAGTTTTTGTTAGATATATGACCTCTAAGGAGAAACAGATCACCTTTAAATATGCATGCCTTCACTGGATAACCAAATATCTGAGTTGGAAGTACTAACTCAAATTGGAAGTTAAAAAAAAATTGGAGGGAAGATGTCAGGTTAGCATTTTTTAGAGCTATTGGTGAACTGTAACTTATGGTGATATTAATTACATAAGCTGATAACTAATCCATTAATTACATAATCTGATAACTAAATTATGTAGTATAGACCCATTACTAAAAAGATTGCCATCATATGCCATGAATCACACCATAAATCCATAAAAACATTTAAAATAGAAAAAAAAGGAAACCCATCTTATTTGGTGTTACAGACTCAATCACCTTTCCATAAAATAAAGTTATTCTCAAGGAAAGAAAATTCAAAGTGCTTTTATCTTACGCCTTTTATTACTCAGTGAATGATCTTTAGTATGAAGTTAATGGTTAGATATATAAATAAGCATGAAAAAATCAGGGAAAATCCTTTTTCATTTGAGATTAGGAATATCAACTCTAGCCTTAATCAGCAACTTAACCCATTTTTTTTGTACAAACACAAATAACAGACAAGCATGATAATTAACTCTTCTTAATTGGCAGTTAGGGCTCTAAAATGTCCTTAACATTTTTATAAAGATCATTTTAAAACCAAAACACTAATTTGACACACAGTAAAAGCATAGTACAAATATCCAAATTTCAGATCTGCCTTTTGCTAGATAGAGCCCAAGAATAAAAGAGTTTTCCCTTTATAGATAATAATTTAAAATATAAATAACTATTAAATCCCACTGAATAGAGAATGTGAAAGTTCCTGGTATAAAAACCACCTTAGAGTTTGAAGTTTGAGAGTCGTTGCATTCTACGGTGGGACAGAGACTGGATTTTGTTTGTTTTCTGGAAATACTTCACAATCTCCCTCCATTTCAAAATTGAGATTCACAAATGAACTGGACACCACTGTTTCTGGTTGATCTGTCTGAACAATGGAATCAGCCTGCAGCTTATTCTGTTGGTAGTGTCTTTCTGCTTCTTCAGACATCCTGTTTTCTTCTTCTTCTTCCTCCTCCTAAAAAGAGGAAATACCAAATATCGTTCAAATATACTGTCCGAAAGGAATAATATTTGTTCCCCCAATTGTAGCTGCTTGTTGTTTTTTTCTTTTTTAACCAAAACAGTAACGTGTCCAATTCACTTTGGTCTAATTAAGATAAGACATACTTTCCTTCCCTTTCATTCCCAAATTGAAATGAAAACTATTACATGACATTTTAGAAAAGTGGTGTCATTTTTAAAAATATATCTTTATTATTAAAAGCATTACAGATGTCCCCATTTTTTCCCCCATTGACCCCTCCACCCTGCTCCTGTCCCCTCCCCAGGCCTTCATGGCACCATTGTGTCTATGGATTATGCATATAATTCTTTATTTAACCTCTTCCTGCCCACCCGTCCCCTCTGAGATGAAACCTGAACTAACTTTGACAAGAGATATATCTTCTCAGATTAAGTCTAATCTAAAACTATACCTAATACTATATCACTTCAATTGCAGGGTATCAGCCTGTTCACTGGAACAGGGTGGTCTATTCACTAAATTGACGTAGCGTGGTTAGTGTTCCCATAAGTACCTGGTAACAGATAGGGCAGTCTCTGCCCTCAGAAAGTTTACAATCTAAGAGGGAAGTTAAGACATGTAAAAACAGCATTGAGACAAAGGAATAACTATAGAGATTCAGAAATAGTAACTTCCAGTTCCAGAACTAAGTTCATGGAAGAGGTGGCATGTGTATTTGTCCCTGCAGTATGGGTACAGAATGACTAACCTGTCAAGAAGATTAATCTAGGGCTTTCTTGAGAGTGAATGAGAAAACAAAACAAAAAAAAAGAGTGAATGAGAAAGGCCATTTAGAGAGGCTATTCAATACTCCCCAGAGGTAATGGGGTTCTAAACAGTCGTTCATCAAACGTTTTTGAAACCAAATAAGTCAGTTGAGCTTTCCAGATTCATCTCCAGCCATTCCGTTGTACTCTCTGCTCCAGTGACAATAAAGTAGTATTCTTGCCATTTCCCCAAACATACAACATATTTTCATTCCTCTCTATTCTAAGTTTATCTAAATTACCCTCGAGTGCTTGAAGGAGAATAGCTAGATACTAATATTTTTTTCATTTTCACTAATATATACTAGGTGCTATTCTGTTTTACATATTAACTCATTTAATCCTTAGAACAACCCCAGCATGGATGCTGCAATTTTCATTATAAAGATGAGTAAACTGAGGCTTATAAAGGTTAAGTATTTTGCACGAGGTAACAAAGTTAGAAGTGGCAGAGCAAGAATTTGAATTCAGACTCTGTTTCTTGGGCCCATGCTCTTAAATGCTAAAGCTTTCTCATTGTTTAAGGCTAAACTCATTTCACTCCCACTCTAAGACCTCACTATAGACAGGTTGCCTTAACTACTGACACTTACACGTTCCTCGTACCTATAATTTTCTGTGCATCAAACTCACTCCAGTTCTACATGCAGTCTATGCATACTAAGTAGAAAGACTGGGTCTTGTTTCCTTATCTTAAAACTGGAAGATAATAATCCAGAGAGAGGTGTGTGAAGATGAATAACATACATAGCACCTAGCACAGTAAATCTAGCTCAATTTTACAAATAGATCCTAGGAAACTTTCAGTATTAAAAAATTCCAAAATGTATGCTAATTTGATAAAGAAACTGACTCTAAAATGAAATACCTAGCATAAGGGAGTTACCTTTTGGGCACCTAGAGAATACATGTGTTCAATATACAACCCATCAAGTCCATAGCAAAGCAAACCTAATCAAGAAAATGTAGGAGAAAACCAAGATGGCGGCATAGGTAAACACCGGAGTTGGCTGCCTCGCACAACCACTTCACAAATGCAACTAAAAGACTGAACGGACATCGCCCAGAACCACAGGAAGACTGGCTGAGGGGAAATTCTTCAACTAGAAGGAAAGAGAACAGCATACGAGACTCAGAGGAGGCGCAGTGCGGAAAATACAAAGGTGCGGAGGTGCGCGCGGAGCGGGGTGGTAGCTCAGGGCGCGGTTGTCGTTTTCAATTGGGACGGAGGCTCAGGCTCTGAGCTCCAGTTCTGGGCGAGTCTCTGGGGACCCAGACTCATACAGGAGAAGCGGGACTGTCTGGCATCAGTCGGAACGCGAGGGCAGCTTTCTCTCCAAGGTTTGCAGCGGTTGCTGGGACTCTGAGAGGCAGAGCCTCTGGGGACGGGACTGAGAGCAGCCATAACTGCTCCCTCCACCCGCCCCGCCCCACCCAAGCCCTGCGCAGAGCCATTTGCCAGATAGCCTCAGGCAAAGGCTAGATTAGCACCTCCCTAGAGGACAGAAGTTTTCCCACTGCAGACACAGCTGATTCTCACAGCCAGTTGGCCTGGAGGTCAAATCCCCCTGGTATTAACTACAACAATCAAGGCTTGACTACAACAAGTCTGCGCACAAAGACCACTAGAGGGTGCACCAAGAAAGCATAAAAAATGCGGAGACAAAGAAACAGGACAAAAGTGTCAATGGAGGATATTGAGTTCAGAACCACACTTTTAAGGTCTCTCAAGAACTGTCTAGAAGCCGCCGATAAAGTTATTGAGATCCTCAAGAAATCTAATGAGACCCTCGATGTTGTGATAAAGAACCAACTAGAAATTAAGCATACACGGACTGAAATAACGAATATTATACAGACTCCCAACAGCAGACCAGAGGAGCGCAAGAATCAAGGCAAAGATTTGAAATGCGAAGAAGCAAAAAACACCCAACCAGAAAAGCAAAATGAAAAAAGAATCCAAAAATACGAAGATAGTGTAAGGAGCCTCTGGGACAGCTTCAAGCGTACCAACATCAGAATTATAGGGGTGCCAGAAGATGAGAGAGACCAAGATATTGAAAACCTATTTGAAGAAATAATGACAGAAAACTTCCCCTACCTGGTGAAAGAAAGACTTACAAGTCCAGGAAGCGCAGAGAACCCCAAACAAAAGGAATCCAAAGAGGACCACACCAAGACACATCATAATTAAAATGCCAAGAGCAAAAGACAAAGAGAGAATCTTAAAAGCAGCAAGGGAAAGAAACTCAGTTACCTACAAGGGAATACCCATACAACTGTCAGCTGATTTCTCAACAGAAACTTTGCAGGCCAGAAGGGAGTCGCAAGGAATATTCAAAGTGATGAATGCCAAGGTTACTTTATCCAGCAAAGCTATCATTCAGAATTGAAGGTCAGATAAAGAGCTTCACAGATAAGGAAAAGCTAAAGGAGTTCATCACCACCAAACCAGTATTATATGAAATGCTGAAAGGTATCCTTTAAGAAGAGGAAGAAGAAGAAAAAGGTAAAGATACTAATTATGAGTAACAAATATGCATCTATCAACAAGTGAATTCAAGAATCAAGTGAATAAATAATCTGATTAACAGTATGAACTGGTGATTATAATAGAATCAGGGACATAGAAAGGGAATGGACTCACTATTCTTGGTGGGGAAAGGGGTGTGGGAGATGCGGGAAGAGACTGGACAAAAATTGTGCACCTAGGGATGAGGACAGTGGGGGGGTAAGGGCAGAGGGTGGGTGGGAACTGGGTGGAGGGGAGCTATGGGGGGAAAAAAAAGAGGAACAAATGTAATAATCTGAACAATAAAGATTTACTAAAAAAAAAAAAAAAAAAAAAAAGAAAATGTAAAAGGGAGACACACCTCCTTCTTCATCCGGTAATACTCATCAATGGCATACTGGTATTTTGGGGTACTGATGCCCAAAACAGATGCAATCTTCTCTCCAAGAAAGTCACACACTAAAGATACAAAAGTTAAATAGCTTACATAATTCCATAAACAGTTCTTTTTTAAAAAAATGTATTTTTTACAAACATTTCTTGAGCACTACGTGCAAAGCACTGTAGAAATACAAAAGTTATAGTTCCTGCCCTCAGAGAGGTTATGAAGATTCAATATCTCTTCTGCATATAATTCCTTGATTTCCTCAAGAAGCACTATGGCTCCTTTTAGGCACCTGTTAACACTCCCAGTAATGTCTATTTCTTTTTTAAAAAAAATGCATATTCAGAGCATCGGCCTGCGGACTCAAGGGTCCCAGGTTCGATTCCGGTCAAGGGCATGTACCTTGGTTGCAGGCGCATCCCCTGTAGGGGGCATGCAGGAGGCAGCTGATCGATGTTTCTCTCTCATTGATATTTCTAAATCTCTATCCCTCTCCCTTCTTCTCTGTAAAAAATCAATAAAATATATGTTTAAAAAAAATTCATATTCTTAGCTAGGATGCCAATGGGCTGGAGGAGAGGAATGGCTTGTATCATAAATGCCAGCCACTGCGAAAGGTTAGACTCAGAGAGGTTGAAGAACTTGCCAAGCTGACAAAGCAAATCCAAAATTTAATCAGGTCTGAATATAAAGCTAATGTTCTTTTCATTTCAACAGACTGTCCAGCATATACTGAGTGCTCAGTAAATGTTTGTTGAATGAATTACTATTCAAAATTAGATCTAATAAAAAAGCAGAAAGTGATAGAAGCTATGAAGGCGTTAAAATTAGAAGAGAAAGCTTTATGATTTAAAACCTATATTTAAAGTTAGCATGATTAAGTCATAAGCTGATAATTCATTTCTTTCAAATATGACTTAGTTATATCTCACTCTAAATATATAAAAGCATAAGCGACCGGTCGACCAGCCGACTGGCTGGTAGCTATGACGTGCACTGACCACCAGGGGGAAGATGCTTGACCCAGGAGCGGAAACCACAGCATAGAAACATGGAACAGACTGATGAATCTCAGAGGAAAGGAGGGCTGGGGGAGGGCTGGAAGAGATTAACCAAAGATCTTATACACATACTAGAGGCCTGGTGCAGAGATTGGGGTCCCTCGGCCTGGCCTGCAGGGTTCGGGCCGAAACCGGCTCTCTGACATCCCCCCAGATTGCAAGAGGATGAAGGCCAGGCAGAGGAACCCCAATAGTACACAAATCCGTGCACCAGGCCTCTAGTTTAAGAAATAAAACACTAGCCCTAGCAGTTTGGCTCAGTGGATAAAGTGTTAGCCTGCATACTGAAGGCTCACAGGTTTGATTCTGGTCAAGGGCAAATACCTCAGTAGGTGGTGTGCAGGAGGCAGCCAATCAATGATTCTCTCATCATTAATGTTTCTATCTCTTTCTCCCTCTCCCTTCCTCTCTGAAATCAATAAAAATATATTTTTAAAAAGGAAATAAAACATTGTCCATGCCTGGTAGCTCAGTTGGTTAGAGAATCATACGCCAAGGTTGTGGGTTCCATCCCTGGGCAGAGCACACACAAAAATCAGCCAGTGAATGCATAAATAAATGTAACAGCAATCAACATTTCTCTCTTTCTTTCTTTCTCTCTCTCTCTCTCTCTCAATTAAAAAATTTTAAAAATATATTAATGACATAAAATAAATGAATTATAACTACAGGCATTAGGGTACCAAATGACAAAATAAAACAGGTGCTAACAAAAAAGGTTTAAGACTGTGAAAATTGTATCTAAATTAATATAGCCATTTTCAATCCTTTAAACACACACACACAGCCAAATGCTGAAGAATGTTTTTTTAGGCGAAGTACAAGTGAAATTGATACCTTTCAATGCTAACTAGCTTGAGAGTGATTAACTCCCTATTGTTTCTCCTTCATTTCTGAAACACCCCTTTTTGGCAGAGCTCTTGGAGCAAATTACAGCAGTTATACAATATTCAAACGGAAAAGTAATACCTGAGAGAGTTGACGTGGCAGCACGAAGCATATAAAACCATAAGTAGGGACCCCAGGTAAGTTTTGTCTGCAACAAAAAGTTGGGTTAGCAATACTGAAACCTAAACTCATTCTATTTATTAAGGCCAAAATGAAGTAACCAAGACTTGGTGAGCACATAGAGTAATCTACAGACGGTACTACAAATAAACTACACTCCAATAAAAAATGTAAAACCTTTATAGCTAGAACTCCATTTTACATTTACCCATATAACTACTACCACCTTAAGTCCATGGAATAACCAAAAAAAGCAGCAGTCACTGAAATAGAGTTGGTAAGTCATAGTCTTAATTATTTAAGAGTTGATATTTCAGAGCCTTCCTTTTCTTGCCATGCTGCTTTCTGTCTTCATTGTTCACCAGCATTATCAGAGAAAGTGCCATCAATGGAAAGGGGCCTTAAGAAATCATAAGGAACACACTTGTGATATAGTGGGGAAATTAAGGTTCAGACACATTAAGCAGAACAACAGCATAGCAAATAAACTTTATTAGTGGGAAAATAAATAACCACTAAGTGGCAAGATGAGTTTCTTGTTTCTTTAAGGTCTAAAAAGTAATTAGACCATAGCTCAGTGTCTATTTCGTAGGCCAGGACCACTGGGAGAATGCAACCTCCATTGCACACCTTAATTAATTTTGGTGCTGTAAGTCCAAAGAATACTTTTGCGAATTGAAGCCTGCCACATAGATGACAGTTTGTATCTGTGGATGAAATCGGTAATGCAAGCATGCTTGCCCAGCCAGTGTGGCTCAGTGGTTGAGCGCTGACCTATGAACCAGGAGGTCAAGGTTCCATTCCCTGTCAGGGCACATGCCCGGGTTGTGGGCTCCATCCCCAGTGTGGGGCGTGCAGGAGGTAGCCAATCAATGATTCTCTCTCATCATTGATGTTTCTGTCTCTCCCTCTCCCTTCTTCTCTGAAATAAAAAATAAAATAAAATAAAATAAAATAAAGTAAAATAAAATAAAAAATACAAGCATGCTTCACTGTACCAATATTTTTGTTCACCAAAAGAAAAGATAGTGCTTGGGCCAGTGTGGCTCAGTTGGTTGAGCACTGTCCCATGCACCGAAAAGTCACTGATTTGATTCCTGGTCAGGGCACATGCCCAGGTTGCAGGCTCGATCCCCAGTGCAGAAGGCAGCCAATCAATGTTTCTCTCTCACATCAATATGTTTTCTTTCTCTCTCTCTCTCTCTCTCTCTCTCTCTCTCTCTCTCTCTCTCCCCCACCCCCCGCCTCTCTAAAATCAATAAAAACATTTTTAAAAGCCCCCACAATTTAAAAAAAATAAGAAAACATAGTATAGAGTCTGCATTCAATCAAATACATTGTTTTGATATTTGCTCCAGGGAGGGGAGAAAAGGATAAACTTGTCCATAACCTTCTTAGCTAAGACATGTTAATGATTATAAGGGCATTAAAAAAAAACAGACACAGAATATTTGTAAGACTAAAAACTGTAGGCACTAGAAACAACTCTTTCCTCTTTGTTGGTGAAATAGTATCTTCCTTTTCTGATATCTAAAGCTGACATCGTAAATTTTAATGTTATTTCCTTTTCTTCATGGTTAAGAGAGGGAGATTAATTTTTTTTTATTTTCAACTACAGTTGACATTCAATATTATTATTATTAAAGAATAATTTATTGATTTTGAGAGAAAGAGGAAGGGAGAGGGTTCTTGAGCCACCTGTCCTTTTGATTCAGCAAGATCAGTGTCTAAACCAGGAGTAGGGAAAGTCCAGCCCTGCCAAGGCATTAGGAGTGAGTTAATTAAATATTTGACCAAATATAGCAGGCTAATTTTTTTAAGATGATAATTTTATACGGTCCACAAATGATGATATAAATATCCAAATGGCCCTTGGAAGAAAAAAGGTCCCCCTCTATCTCCCCTCCCCCAGTCTAATCAAAGGACCCTATAAATTCATTGTGTAACTGTGTGATGACAGATGTTACTCAGGAATCCTTATCCATTTCCTCAGCTCTGGAACAAGTTTGGCTCTTTAGTAGTCACAGCCTGATATTAGCAGTTATTTTCTCTAGAAACAACCCCAGCATATAGAAACCTACGCTTTCTTCCAAAAGTATGCTTAATCCTTTTCTATATTTAGTCCTTTTTTATAGTTTCTTGGTCCTATCATTTACCATGTGCTATACAATTTGGTTCCATTCTCTATATTTCTGCACTGTCCATTTGCTGTAAAAATCATAAGGTAAATACCAATGTCAGAGTATCTTAAATAGTAGCTCCTAAAATAGCTTTTATCCTAACATAAGAGACACCTCCTGCTCTAAATATAGAAGATATAGCAGATTATTTTTCCTGAGGGTTTTCAAAGTCATTTTGAGTGAGCACTGACTGTTAATTTAAAAAATAAAGTTGGCCCTGGCCGGTTGCTTAGTGGTTAGAGCGTCAGCCAGTCAATTCCGGGTCAAGAGCACATACCTCGGTACAGGCTCAACCCAAGCCCTGCTTGGGGTGCAGGCCCTGCTTGGGGTGCATGCATCGATGTTTCTCTCTCCTTTTCTTTCTCTCTCTCTCTCTCTCTCTCTCTCTCTCTCTCTCTCTCTCTCTCTCTCCCCCCTCCTCCCTCCCCAAATGCCAATTTCTGAGACAGTAGTCCTGAAAGACAAGTAAGGTAGTTCCTTAGTTTTTATTTACACAAGAATGAATGGCTCAGCAAACAAATTTAACTAAGAACATACTGTTGTCTTCCCCATTTACTATCTTGAAATATATAGCATATTTCCCAAATGCTTAGATTCCTAAAGTGGAATAACTAGGCCAAAAATATAATCATTTGGAAAGCTCTTCCTTCAGACTGCAAAACTTTACACCAGGAAATTTACCAATATACTCAGAGCAATGCGTGAGATGCCCATTCCCTAGTACCCTTACCACAGTATATTGTTCTTTTACATTTTTAAAAAACTGACAAGTGAAAAATGAGCCCAGATAAATTTGAGTTCTTTATAGGATTTTTTAAAAATCTATTTTTATTGATTTCATATAGGAATGGAGTGGGAGAGATAGAAACATCAATATGAGAGAGAATCATTAATCAGCTGCCTCCTGCACACCCCCACTGGGGATTGAACCTTCAACCCAGGCATATGCCCTTTACCAGAATCGAACCCACGACCCTTCAGTCTGCAGGCCGACGCTCTATCCACTGAACCAAGCCAGCTAGGGTAATTTTGAGTTCTGGCTATATTACAAAAGGCATCAGCCCATTTATATAGGTAACAATTATGTGCATAATCATTTTTTTACATTTTTATTGAATTTATTGGGGTGACACTGGTTAATAAAATTATATAGGTTTCAGGTGTACAATTTTATAATACACGACTGGCCCAGTGCATGGATTCGTGCACACTGAAAGGAAATTAATTAGAAGAAATATTTTAATATTGCTATTTGCCTTTTCTCTATAATAGAAGTGTCAACCAAATTCATGATGGACAATGACAGATTGAAACACACATGTGCAATTGGCACCAGTGAGAGTTTTATATGTACCACACATGCACGAGTCAACGTTTATTTTTAAATTGCTGGTCGGTCACTTAGCCTTTTATATATATACTAGAGGCCCGTTGCACGAAGAGATTCGTACAATACGCCTTCCCTTCCCCTGGCTGCCGGCACTGGCTTTCTTCCGGCACCCGGGATCCAGGCCTTCGCTCTGGCGGGAGGTTTCAGTCTTCACGGCTCCAGATGGAGCCTTCAGTCTTCGCTCCACCGCTTCGCCCCTAAGTATGCAAATTAACTGCCATCTTTGTTGGGTTAATTTGCATACTCTCCTGACTGGTAAGCATAGTGGAGGGACAGTTAATTTACATGTTTGTCTATTATTAGGTAAGATAGACTAGAGGCCCAATGCACGAAATTCATGCATGGGAGTGGAGGAGTGGGTCCCTCAGCCCAGCCTGCACCCTCTGTAATCTGGGACATCCCTCTCGCAATCCAGGACTGCTGGCTCCTAACCGCTTGCCTGCCTGCTGGCCTGATCGCCCCTAATCGCTTCTGCCTGCCTTCCTGATTGCCCCTAACCTCTCTTCCTGCCTGCCTGATCGCCCCTAACTGCTCTCCCCTGCCGGCCTGATCCCCCTAACTGCTCTCCACTGCCGGCCTGATCCCCCAACAGCTCTGCCCTGCCGGCCTGATCGTCCCTAACTGCCTCTGCCTCGGGCCCGCCAGCATGGCTTTGTCTGGAAGGACATCCAGAAGCTCACCCAGAAGATGTCCAGTCTAATTAGCATATTACCCTTTTATTAGTATAGACTAGAGGCCCGGTGCACAAAACTTTGTGCACTCCGGGGGAAGGGGGGGTCCCTCAGCCCAGCCTGTGCCCTCTCCCAGTCTGGGACTCCTCAGGAGGTAATGACCTGCTGGCTTAGGCCTGCTCCCGGGTGGCAGAGGGCAGGCCCAATCCCTAGGTGCGCCCCTGGTCGGGCTCCGAGCAGGGCCGATTGGGGAGTTAGGGCGCCTCCTCCTGTCATGCACAGAGCAGGGCAGATTGGGAGGTTGTGATGCCACCCTCAATCATGTTCAGGGTAGGGCCGATTGGGGGGTTGGGGCACCACCCCGTCACACTCAAGGCAGGGTCGATGGGGAGGTTGCGGCGCCACCCCCGTCACGCACAGAGCAGGGCCAATCAGGAGGTTGGGGCGCTGCCCCCTATCACGCACAGAGCAGGGCCCATCAGGGGGGTTGGGGCTCCGTACCCTGTCACGCACAGAGCAGGGCCCATCAGGGGGTTGGGGCGCCGCACCCTGTCACACACAGAGCCGCAGGGCGATCAGGGGGTTGGGTACTCCCCCCTATCAGGCACAGAGCAGGGCTGATCAGGGGGTTGGGGCGCCTTCCCCTGTCATGAACAGAGCAGGACGGATAGGGAGGTTGTGGCCCCACCCCGTCACACAGAGCCGCAGGGCGATCGGGGTTTGGGCGCTGCCCCCTGTCACACTGATCCCAGTGCCGGGAGGCCTCGCAGCTCCGCTGATCCCGGTGCTGGGAGGCATATTACCCTTTTACTATATAGGATAGAGGCCTGGTGCACGGGTGGGTGCCAGCTGGTTTGCCCTGCAGGGTGTCCTGGATCAGGGTGGGGGTCCCCACTGGGGTGCCTGGCTAGCCTGGGTAAGGGGATGATGGCTGTTTGCAGCTGGTCACACACCCTTCAGGGTGGGGGTCCCCACTGGGGTGCCTGGCCAGTCTGGGTGAGGGGCTGAGGGCTGTTTTCAGGCTGACGGGTGACTGAAGCTCCCAACCGCTCTTTTTCTTTTTTTTTCTTTGTTATTCTGGGCCAGCTTTAGCTTTGAGGCTTGGCTCCAGCTCTTAGGCCTCTGCTGCTGAAAGCAGGTTTCTGGCCTTTGTTTACCTTCTGTATTTGAAACAATGTTGCAATGTTGCGATCCTGCTGGCTGAAGCCTTGCAGACTAAAGCAGGTTTCGGGGGGGGGGGGGGGTTGTTTAGCTTCTATATTTGTAACAGAGTTGCTTAGAGTTGCAGCTCAGAGGCCGGCAGCGGCAGGCGGGGAACGTTGGAGTTCTCCGTCACTGAAGCAAGCAAGCCTCATGTTCGCTTCAAGCTGCCTGGCTGCAGGCTGCCATCTTGGCTGGCAGTTAATTTGCATATTGCCCTGATTACCCAATGGGAAGGGTAGCGGTCGTACACTAATTACCATGTTTCTCTTTTATTAGATAGGATTATCTGTATATCGTATTGTATGTTCACCACCCTAAGTAAAGTCTCCTCCCATCACCATTTATCCTCCCTACTAGTATATCCTCTTGTACCTCCTCCACAACCCCCTTTTCCCTCTGGTAATCACCATACCGTTGTCTGTGTCTATGAGTTTGGGGCTTTGTTTTGTTGTATAAGCTTAATCCCTTCACCTTTTCACCCAGCCCTGCAACCCCCTTCCCCTATGATAGCCGCCAGTCTGTTCTCTATCAAACAACGTGCCCTTTGTCAGCAGGAAGCAGTCAGACAGACTCGGCATCCCCTGTCCCCAATGGCAGCAGGAGTTTCCCAATCAGAGGGGGAACTGAAAGAAGATTTTATGGCTGAAATAGACAGGTTTAGGAAATTTTTAAAATTTAAACGGTCCATGGAAAAAGCACAGGGCTACAGAGCTGCAAAAGGGTACATTTCCATAAGACAAGGGAGCTGGGAGTAGCAAAAGGTCTATATTTACAAAATAAAGGAGGAGGAAGAAAGGCCAAAGAGAATAGGAGAACAAAAGGGAGAAGGAAGGAACTTCACATGAGATTTAAGCTCAGGAGTAGCTATAGTGACCAAATCAAAGGGGAATGGTGACTAATCAGAGGGACTATCAAGGCACAAAGATTTGCAGCCTTTAAAAACCATAGGGAAAAGGGACTCAATGGGACTCTTTTCCCCTCCCCACGTGGGAGTCTGTACTTGTTCTTCAATAAATTTCCACCTTTACTATTAAAAAACATTTTTTAAATATATATTCTTAGAAACACACATATACACATAGTTGAGTAACCCAAATCAAAACTAAATCGAAGGTTAAACAAATGCAAAGAATGTGTTTATTCTTAGGCACATATACTAGTAAGGTAAAATCGAAGGGGAAGTATTACCATAAATAAGACTGCAAGAAAAATCTAGGTTTCCATTTCTTTTTTCTTTTTATTTAAATATATTTTATTGATTTTTTTACAGAGAGGAAGGGAGAGAGATAGAGAGTTAGAAACAACGATGAGAGAGAAACATCGATCAGCTGCCTCCTGCACAACCCCTACTGGGGATGTGCCTGCAACCAAGGTACATGCCCTTGACTGGAATCGAACCTGGGACCCTTGAGTCTGCAGGCCGACGCTCTATCCACTGAGCCAAACCGGTTAGGGCTCTTTTTTCTTTTTTAAAGTAATTATTGTTGAAAGTATTATATATTTCCCCTTCCACCCTTCCTCTCCACCCCTCCCCCCCCACTCCCCGACCCCAGGGCTTCAGCACCCTATTGCCCATGTCCATGGGTCATGCATATATGCAAATAAGGTATTTGGGTGATTACCTTCCACCCACCCACCCTTCCCCACCTTCCCTCTGAGATTCCACACTCTGTTCCATGCTTCCATGTCTCTGGATCCATTCTGTTCATCAGTTTATTTTGTTACTTAGATTCCACATATGAGTGAGATCATGTGATACTGGTCTTTCTCTGACTGACTTATTTCACTTGGCATGATACTCTCCAGGTCCCTCCATGCTGTCTCAAAGGGTAAGAAATTCTTCTTTTTTACTGCTCCATAGTATTCTGTGGTAAAAATGTACCACAGCTTTTTAACCATTCATCTACTGATGAGCACTTGGGCTGTTTCCAGATCTTAGCTATTGTAAATTGTGCTGCTATGAACACAGAGGTGCATATATTCTTTCTGATTGGTGCTTTGGATTTCTTAGGATATATTCCTACGAGATCACTGGGTCAAATGACAGTCCCATGTTTAGTTTTTTGAGGAAACTCCATACTGTTTTCCATAATGGTTGTACCAGTCTGCATTCCCACCAGCAGATACTAGGGTTCTCTTTTCTCCACATCCTCACCAGCACTTGTCATTTGTTGATTTGTTGATGTTAGCCATTCTGACAGGTGAGATGGTACCTCACTGTCATTTTGATTTGCATCTCTCAGATGATTAGAGACTTGGAACATTTTTTTCATATGTCTCTTGGCCATCTGTATGTCCTCTTTGGAGAAGTGTCTATTTAGGTCCTTTGCCCATTTTTTTTATTGGATTGTTCAACTTCCTTTTTGTTAAGTTATCTGAGTTCCTTATTAGTTTGGATATTAACTCTTTATCAGATGTATCATTGCCAAGTATGTTTTCCCGTACAGTGGGCTCTCTTTTCATTTTGGTGGTTTCTATTGCTGTGCAGAAGCTTTTTATTTTGATGTCATCCCATTTATTTATTTTCTCCTTAGTTTATTTTACCTTAGGAGATGTATCTGTAAACATATTGCTACAAGAGATGTCTGAGATTTTGCTGCCTACTGGTATAGTTTCTCCTAGGACAGCGGTTCTCAACCTGTGGGTCACAACCCCTTTGGCAGTCGAACGACCCTTCAGGGCTCGCCTAAGACCATCCTGCATATCAGATATTTACATTACAATTCATAACAGTAGCAACATTAGTTATGAAGTAGCAACAAAAATAATGTTATGGTTGGGTCATAACATGAGAAACTGTATTTAAAGGGCCAAAAGGTTGAGAACCACTGTTCTAGGATATTTATGGTTTCATGACTTACATTTAAGTCTTTTATCCATTTTGAGTTTATTCCCATGTATGGTGTAAGTTGGTGGGCTAGTTTCATTTTTTTGCATGTATCTGTCCAATTTTCCCAACACCATTTATTGAAAAGACTGTCTTGACTCCAACGTATGCTCTTTCCTCCTTTGTCAAATATTAATTAAGTGTAATAGCTTGGGTCAACTTCTGGGTTCTCTGTTCTGTCCAATGATCTATATGCCTGTTCTTGTGCCATTACCAGGCTGTTTTGATTACGGTGAGTATAACTTGAAATCTGGTATTGTGATCCCTCCAACTTTGTTTTTCTTTCTCAAAATTGCTGCAGCTATTTGGGATCTTGTTTGATTCCATATAAATTTTTGAGTGTTTGTTCTAGCTCTATGAAATTTGCCATTGGTATTTTAATAGGTATTACATTGAATCTGTAGATTGCCTTGGGTAGTATGGACATTTTAATGATGTTGATTCCATTTCTTGTTTTCTATCAAGTATACCAGGAGTATTATTAAGTCTTCATTTTAAATGTCAGGGTTTAAAAACAATATTGAGTCTGTTTTACAAATCTACTATATTAATACAAGACAGTATCTTTTCAAATTATTTTGCCTTATCAGACAAAAGTTTACTTTGCTATTATTCATCCTTTAAAAGAAGGGAATCCTGTCATATACAATCACTTGGTGAACCTTCAGGACATTGTACTAAGTAAAATAAGCCAGTCACAAAAGGACAAATACTTCTTGATTCCACTTATATGAGTTATCTAAAATAATCAAACATAGAAACAGAGAATAGAATAGTGGTTGCCAGAAACTGGGGGAAGGAGGGAATTGGGGAGTTGTTATTCCATCGGTATAACATTTCATTATACAGGATGATTACATTTTAGAGATCATGTTCTGTACCATGTTGTAACTATAGTTAACAATACCTTATTGTACACTTAACAATTTGTTAAGATGGTAGCTCTCATGTTAAGTGTTCTTATCATAATTTTTTTTAAACCAATGAATTTTGTGAAAAAGTATAAGAAAGGAAGACATTTTCATAGATAGATTTCTTAGTAGTTACAGAATAGTCATGGGGACGTAAAGTACTACATAGGGAATATAGTCAATAATATTCTAATAACTATGTATGGTGTCAGCTGGGTATGAGATTTATCAGGATAATCACTTAGTAAGTTATACTGTCTAATCACTGGGGTGTACACCTAAAACTAATACAATATTGTATGTCAACTGTAATTAAAACCTTAAAAAATGATTAAAATAAAATAACACAAAACTACTTCAGGCTTCTGAAATGCAGGAAATATTTCCATCCATATTGTATAAAAATACTATTTTTTACCAAAATCATAATGCATAATTTTATAATCAGAATATAGCTGACTGAAACCTCAGAAGTCCCCTTCCATTCAATGGGGAAACAAATCAATCTAAACAAAACCCACTGACACACAGAAAATCGCTAGTATCAAACCTACCGGATCAACAGAAGGCAAAACATCTTTCTTTTCCAGGCCATCGACTTCATCTTCATCCGTGCTATATTCTTCCATTGTTTCACCACTGACAAAGTGGATGACTCTCCTTGGGACTTTCTTCTTTTTTCCGATGATTCCCAGTTCTACATTTTCAAAGCTTCTTTCATTACTCATCTAATGTTGATAATAAATTAAGAAAACGAGAGTTTCAAGTGAGATTAATATTCATTTATATGACCAAAAAAAATTCCAGGTGGCTTTATTTTAGGGAATAAGAACATAAGCCAATTCTTAAACAGTTTTTTAAAAAATTAAACAGCCCTGACCAGTTTGGCTCAGTAGATAGAGCATCAGTCTGCGGACCAAACGGCCCCGGGTTCAGTTCCAGTCAAGGGCATGTACCTTGGTTGCAGGCTCCTCCCCAGCCCCAGCCCTGGTCAGGCCTCCTGCAGGAGGCAACCAATCGATGTGTTTCTCTTACATCAATATTTCTCTCTGTCTTTCCCTCTCTCTTCTATTCTCTCTAAAAATCAATGGAAAAATATCAAGTGAGGATTAACAAAAACAAACAAACAAAATTAAATAATTAAAGGTGGTTAAATGTTTAAAATAAAAAAATAAAACAGATCATATACGCACAAAAGCATCAATAGCATTCAAAAAGAGTTTAATGAATAATAAAGCAAACATCTGCATAGTCAATAATAAGGTGAAAAAACAGAACTTAACCAATTAAGTTTAATTTTGTTTAAGTAAACAGCTAAGAAATCAAGCACCACACTTCAAGTGATAGCAATTCCAACACTGTATAATATGTGAAGACATGCTGAACATCAATCATTTTAAAGACTAACACTGCCCTGGCCGGTTTGGCTCAGTGGATAGAGCGTTGGCCTGCAGACTGAAGGGTCCCAGGTTTGATTCCAGTCAAGGGCATGTACCTTAGTTGCAGGCACATCCCCAGTGGGAGGTATGTAGGAGGCAGCTGATCGATGTTTCTCTCTCATCGATGTTTCTAACTCTCTATCCGTCTCCCTTCCTCTCTGTAAAAAATCAATAACAAATATTTTAAAAAAATAAAGACTAACACTAATTATGGCTGAATTAATGCGTAATATCAAGAGAAAATCATATGACACACATATACATATGTTAAATACATAAAATAACAGTTTATATTAAGAAAGTCTAATTAGTATTTGAATTTGAGTTTAGCTATGTGTGAGCGAAACAAAACCAGTTCAGCTTAATTCTGAAGCTCTCCTTTTCTCAAAACAGGAGTCCTAAATTCAAATGCCTTTTAGGGCCAAACAGGTACCAAAATGAATAAAGCTACAGATGGCAGGATAGATGCGTTAGAGAAAGAATGCCTCAACTAAAGACATTAAATTGAAAATAATTTTAAAGCACTGTGCAGGTCAAATAAAACTCATTTATAAACCAGATCTGGAAAGCAGGCCATCAGTGTTTTATCTCTGAACTTCCAGATTTCTTAGTCAATAATATACAGGTGACAACAGAATTTTTCTGATAGTAAAAAATTTTACAAATTTTTAAAGTATAATGCTTAAGTCTATGGAATTCTAATTATATCCAAGTTCCACTCCTACATATATATAGCCATGTGCCAAACTCAGAGTAAGTGTAAACAATGGGGGAATATAAGTAACTTTTTTTTCCCCCTCTCACCTTGCCTCAGGTTTAAACTCCTAAGAAAACCTTCATTGAATCTTCTTACCTGAAGATTTTGAAAAGGCACAGTAGTAATAATTGTGAAAAAAAAAGTCTGGCAACAGTGAAAATGGGGGAGGAGGGAATGATCAAGGGGGCTTTTTGTTCACGTTTTAATTTTTTGTTTTTGTGATGAGGATATGTTCATGTATTACTGATACAATTTAAAAAGTAAACCAAAGCAAGATGATACAGGACTACAGGACTGTCATGATTAGAATCCATGTCTGTAGGATTCTCTAGGATAGTCCAGAGTTTAAAATTTTGTCTTCTATAAGGATTCTTAAACTTGTAAATATGACCAAACATAATTTAAATCCATGATTATTGTTCAACTACTAGTTAAGTTTTCTGAAATACATTTGCAGAGAGGGACTGTACTGATAAAAAATAGTTGACTAGAATTGCCAAGTTATGTAAGTATAAGTAACTTTACTTTTATGCATTGTTCCTCTTAATCTTCTAAGGTCCTCCTTAGAAAATAGATATGGTTCTTCTGTGTCATTCACTTGCCAAAAGTAAATTTAGTAATTAGCCAGGATTTGAATCAAGATACAGTATATCCAACCCAAAGAATTCAGGCATTCATTGTTCCATTAAGCACATGGTCATCACTGACAGAACTATCACTGCTGTATACTCTAGTAGCAAACTGAGATCATGAAAGCATTGATGGCATGAGCTATCTATGAATTAATCTTTAAAAAAAATTTCCTTAGCCTGTCCTAAGGGCTCAAACAAATCCCAGCCCTTAATAAAGAAAGACTAATCCATTTAGTGTGTTCATTAAAAAAATGGACAACATATGGCCTATCCACATCTCCTTTCTTCTATCCCTGATCCCTAGCCACAGTAAGCCCTTCCTACCCAATCTCATATTACCCCTTGATGTAAGATTTGGTTTGGATTGTCTTGACATCAAAGTCTCCTTTTGGACCATGACTTTTTGAATTCCCTTTTAGACAAGGGAAAGTCAGAAGAGCTGGTTTAGATCTCCAGTCATCATACTAACTAGATGGATCTGACACCAAAGCAACAATCCCTGTCAGTGAATAGAGCTGAGAGCATTCACAGTACATCACCATGCTCCCTTCTGCCCCCAACCCACTCCCATCAGAGCAGAAGCAGCTTCTCACGGCTCCCTAAGCAATCTCTCAGTGGCTCAACTACTGTATCTTCCTTTGACAACTTTAATAAATCAAAACACTCTGGCTGGGTCATAACATCTAGTATAAACTTAGCTACTATCTCTATTCTATGACTTTTGGTTATATTCTTTCCAAAACATTTTTAAAAAATCTGTCCAGCCGGCGTGGCTCAGTGGTTGAGCATCGACCTATGAACCAGGAGTTCAAGGTTTGATTCCTGGTCAGGGCATATGCCCAGGTTGCAGGCTCAATCAATCCCCAGCAAGGGGCATGCAGGAGGCAGCTGATTAATGATTCTCTCTCATCACTGATGTTTCTGTCTCTCCCTTCCTTTTTGAAATCAATAAAAATATACTTTTAAATAAATAAATCTACAAAAGGGCAGAGAGGTGAGTGGGGGAAGATTAACCAGGAAACCTATATGCATATATGCATAGCCCATGGACACAGACAATAGTGTGGTGAAGGCCTGGAAAGGGCGGGTATGGGGGAGGGGGGGAGGAGACAATGGAGAAAAAAAACACAAAGGGGAGCATCTACAATACTATCTATCAACAATAAAGATAAATTTCTTAAAAATCTACAAAAGAGAAGGCTGAAACACAAATTTTTTTTCCTAGGCAAAATTTTTATTTTAAAATAAAAATTCCTTCAGATCTTCACTTACACAACAAACTAGTTATAATTAAATCTTTCCTAATTCACAAGCATTATAATTTATAATTACTGAACATTTGCCCAGTTTTCCAGGAAAATATCTGCACACTACACATCAGGAAATGCTCTTAGAAATCAACACAGGATAAATGAAAAACTAAAAGTTCACAGCTTTTGCTTTCATGCACAGTAAACCTAGTTGTGTCTTCATAAATTCCAGGAACCTTATCTTTTTTTTTCTTTTTTCTTTTTTTTTTTTTACAGAGAGGAAGGGAGAGGGATAGAGAGTTAATGAGAGAGAAACATCAATCAGCTGCCTTCTGCACACTCCTACTGGGTATGTGCCCGCAACCAAAGTACATGCCCTTGACCGGAATCGAACCTGCAACCCTTGAGTCCACAGACCGATGCTCTATCCACTGAGCCAAAGCAGCCAGGGCGAACCTTATCTTTCTTACCTGTTTTAGCCAACATTCATACTAGTACATCCCTTCTGTGAAAGACATTGCTGAGTATGGTAGGAAATACAGAGGGAAATGAGCCAGTCCCCGCCCTGGGAGGATATGCAAAATACACCCACAAGGACAGAGCACAGCTAGTGAAGTAACTCAGGAGGAATGGTAACAAAAGGAAAAGGTGACCTCACCTGGGCCCTGAAAAATGAGAAAGATTGCCGGGAGCCGGTCCATCCTTGCTGTTTCAAAGGACCTGGCATATATGGCATACTGTTCTTAATATGTTTGCTCACCTTCTTGGCACTATGTGTTTTAACCAAGGTCTCTGAGAAAGGTTGTTTCCCCAGGTAGGGATTTTCCCCTGAAGTTAGGGAGGGAATAAAACCTCTTAACTAAGTGCCAGGCGGGTAATTAATCACTTTAACTATGAACAATCATGCTTAAGCTACATAATCTTTACTCCCTGGAATGGAGATAAGAAACGCCCTAACCTTTGTAATAGAGATTGATAGGATTGAATCAACTGGTATAAATACAGATGTAACAAGACAGCAAGAGTCAGAACTTAGAACACAGAACTTAGAACACAGAACTTAGAAGACAGAACCTACACAGAACCTAGAGACAGAAGAACTTCGCTGGAGAGAACATGGCAAAAGATCCTGGACTGAACCTGACTACAGAAATTGGCAAGAGAACCTGACTAGAACCTGGTGACTGAACCTGGCTGGAAAACCTGGAGAACCTAGCAAGAGAACATGGACACAGACCCTGGCAGGAGATCCTAAGCAGAACCTCTCTGGAGATCCAGACCAGAACTTGGCTGGAGATCCTGGGTGGAGATCCTGGCTAGGCTGCTGATCAACTGAACACTGTCTCTGTGTCATTCCTTCTTCGCCAACTCCGTCCATACCTTTGGGGACCCCTGGACCTGCTGGGGTTGGACCCCAGCAAAAGATACCACACCAGGAGATGGAAAGGGAGAGCACTTCTGACTGAAAGAACATAAATGTTCAGTTCAGTTGCAATAGCTAAAAGCAACCCCCAGATCAGGTTCAAAACTGAAAAGCTACATGTACAAAAAGGCAAAAGCATCTATTCTACTTGCTTTAAAAGAAAACTGTAACTCATTCTAGCTGCATGCAAAGTAGAAATGAGGAACGAGGGGTGACTCTTTGCCTAG